CAATCATTTCAACACAAATACGTAAAATGTAGAATATGTGGCAGAACACACTCATATAACGTACGACGTACGATGTACGACATACCCTACACGACATCACGTCACGCGACAGCTTGCGCCTCCCATCCGCCCATCCTGCTTTAGAGAAGTCAGTCAGGGTTTGGGGGGAAGGGGGCCGCAACGAAGCCCAAGAGTGTCAGTTCATCTCCTCTCCCCAGCAGCGCACATACATACATACATACATATCGACACGCATCATTCCACATATCGCTGTAACATCCAAATGAAAAAGCGGACACCGGCCCGGACCACCTCCCTCCTGCTGCGTTGAGCACCGTTTATAATTTACGCGCACCGATCAGGGCGGTCATGCAACGAGCCATCCCCATGTAAGCGCGGCCCAGATAAAATATGTATGCGTGCGTGTGCGTGCGTGTGCGTGTGTGAGTGTGAGTGTGAGTGTGAGTGTGTGAGTGTGCGCGCGCGTGTGAGTGTGTGGGTGTGTGAGTGTGTGGGTGTGGGTGTGCTCTAATCCCCGTCACCCTGATGCTGAAGAAAGGTTGACAGACCCCAAATCCCCCCCCAGCCACAACCAACTGGAAACGCACCGCGGTTGTACACGCGGCATTACACGCGGTCATACACACGGCCTTACACGCGGTCATACACACGCGCACAAACGCACAGTCGACACACCGCTCCTCTCCTCACACATACATATACACACACCACCCCCAACACCCCCACAACCACCATCAACAGATCACCACCACCACCACCACCAGTGCCACCACTACTACGATGCACACACCTCGTCGCCACAGCCCCGACCTCACGGGGCAGCAGGACATACATACATACATATATACATACATACAGCCGAAAAAAATAAAGACCTGTAGACCTGAAGGCGGCACATGCATCATCGGTAATACAGTCCAAAATTCCAAACCAAAACTTCCAAAATTAGGATGAGGCCGGCGAGGCGACCTGGCGCTGCCAGATATAAGGTACACGTGCGTGTTGCTTACGCTGAGGAATCTAGTAGTTGTAGTAGTTGAAGTAGTTGAAGTAGTTGTAGTAGTTGTAGTAGTTGAAGTGGTTGAAGTAGTTGTAGTAGTTGAAGTAGTTGTGGCAGTAAGCGCCAGGTAGAGATAAGAGGTGAAGAGCTACAGCTACAGCCGAGCTACAGCCCACGGAACACAGCCTTAAGGGCCGCAATGAGCTGTGTAATATGACACGGGCATTAGGGGGCTGGGCATCTGTAAGGTAACAACGGCCAACTACCCAACTGACCAACCGCTTCCAAGATGGCACGGAAGTAAATTCAATATTCACGTGCAGAAACTGATGGCAACGCAACGGAAACCTAACAACCAACCCAGCCTTTTCCTCGTTCTCCTTCGCCTGCATCAATCGCCACCACTACCACCATCACCACCGCCGCCGCCACCACACAGACAGACAGACAGACAGACAGACAGATACACAGACAGACAGATACACAGATACACAGACAGACAGATACACAGACAGACAGACAAACAGACAGACACAGGCAGACAGACACAGACAGACAGACAGATACACAGACAGACAAACAGACAGACAGACACAGACAGACACAGACAGACACAGACAGACACAGACAGACACAGACAGACACAGACAGACACAGACAGACACAGACAGACACAGACAGACACAGACAGACACAGACAGACACAGACAGACACAGACAGACACAGACAGACACAGACAGACACAGACAGACACAGACAGACACAGACAGACACAGACAGACACAGACAGACACAGACAGACACAGACAGACACAGACAGACACAGACAGACACAGACAGACAGACAGACAGACAGACAGACACCG